AGAAAACACAAGATTTACATTTATAATCTAAAATGTGAGTTGACCCATTACACATCTGAAGTGCAAGGTAAAGCCTGGTGCAGAGGAGCAGCCTGGCCTGACTTTCATCGCCTACTGAGCACCAGCAGGCCCAGTGAGGTGCCACAGGTGCTAGCAATAACTACTTTTAAGTCTCGTCTCAGAGGAAAAAAAAAAATCAATTTTTAATGAGTAATAGGTTAAGGCCAGAGAAGTTTGTCCTTTGTCCCTGTGGTGGTCTTACCATGGCAGGTCCAACGCCAGCTTGGAAAGGAAGTCTTGAAGACATCAGAGGACAAAGAGCAATTTCGAGAAGAAAGTCAGCTTCTTTATCAGTACCAGAACCAGGAAACATCTCACTGGCTGGGCCAGGGTGCTGGCGAGCTGAGCAGAGGCCGCCTCTGTGCGCAGAGAGGCGTCGCCGAGTAGAAGCAGGGCCAGGAAGCTGTGTCTCGGAGCCTGCGACAGCAGGACACACACTCCAGCCCAGCCCGGGCAACACAACACTTTAGGGAGACACTTTCTCCAACAATAAGGAAAGGAAAAAGCAAAAAATACATTTATACACAAGACAGATAAGATAGTTATATGGCTAGTTGATCTTGAAAAGAAAGATCGGTGTTAACATGGTTTGGACAAGATACCATACTATCTTGTCTTCTGAATAATTTCTAAGAAGACAATAGTGAATGCATTACTTATTGTAACTCTCCTACTAACCTGTTTTGAAACTCTGCTGCATTGTTAGTTTTATTTTTTGTTTTTCTTTAAAATGAAGAAAAGGGCTGGTGAGATAGCTCAGTGGTCTAGGGCACCTACTTAGAACAAGTTTAGCAAAGCACAGGGACCGTGGTTCAATCCCCCAGCACCACATGCCAGCCAGCCCCGCCCCCTGGTAGGCTGAACTGGCCACACACACATAAATAAAAATAAAAATAAATAAATAAATAAAATAAAATGAAGAAAAGAGTCTAAAAAAGCCACGAGGGAAAGGTAGCCTGCATGAAGACCCCAGTGCCGCAGAGGCCAAGAGCGGCAGTGAAGCGCAGGCTCCCGCTCGCAAAGCCCGCTGGGAGTCAGCTGCGGCTCTATGTGGGGCGGGCCCTTTCTCCTCCTGCTTCCAGGAAGGTTGAATAACAAACAGCTTCAGCTCTGTGATGTGGAACTTTGGCTGAGTGTCTCCACTTTTGTGCTTTACTAACCTCTTGGGGCCTGTTGCAGGAACTTGTCCCACATAGTGGCTTCCTATGACCTGCATTTCTGTTGCTTTTGCTGCTCTGTTGAGTTGCAAACAGAGCAGGGCTGGGATGAAGCAGGGCCTCATGCAGCTGGGCAGGTGCTGTGCATGACACTGTGTGAATCAGGAGAAACAGGTGTGGCTGAGCTCTGACCCATGGGACATGGGGACTAGCCTCTCCCAAGGGCACTCTGAGCCCTGATCCTGGTGGCCAAACATGTAGCCAGCATGGACAGACCACCCTTTTACAGCCAGGAGCCCCATCACAGGTTGAAGGCAGTAGGCAGGGCTGCCTGGAACAGTGTCCAGGAGCCAGACATGAATAGGGAGGGCCTAGAATACTCGTGCGACTGAACCATGACCACCACAAGGCCTGGTGGCTGCACACAGGAGGCTCAGAGGGCAGAAACAGGACAACAGTTAAGTGGACCCTAACCTGGGGCAGCCAAGCATGATGGGCAGCGGAACAGGTGATAGCCATGGTGACTTGGGAAGCGATACCAAGGCCACTCTTTCACCCAGCAGCCAGCTCTGGTGGGGTTCCTTGGGAGGCAGGGAAGGATGGCTGTGGCCAGCAAGGCCAACTTAGGAAGGACAAAGCACCAAGCACCCAACACCAGGACCTGAGGGGGAGGTTTTCTTTGAGTCACCATTTCAGAAGGTTCAGTCATGGTCAGCTGGCTGAGTGGTGGAGGGCATGGCAGGGGAAAGCTGCCGGCACAGCCACCGGGAAGCGCAGAGGAGGTGCCAGGGACAAGAGCATGCCTCCCAGATCACACGCAGTGGCTCCAACAACTGAGCCCCACTCCTAACAGCACATGCAACCACCAGTCGATGAATCCAGTACTGAGTACAGCACCCCATGTGCTGAGGCCAAGCACCTTCTAGATATATGAGATGTTGGGGAGTGTAATGGATCAACTCACATTTTAGACTATAAATGTAAATCTTGTGTTTTCTGTCATGTAAAAATGCACACTCACCACTGTTCTAAGTTGTTTAGTAAATAGTGGCTGTTACTTGCTGTTTGCTAGATAAAATTCCTACCTAACCAATCCCTGTAAACAAAGTTAGATTACAGAGATGACTTCATAAGGAAACTAAATGGGATTTGACTTCTTGTAACCTCGGGCTATGCAAGGTTGCCTGCAGGTACTCAGGTGCAAGATAACCAGAAACTAAAACAAAGCCCCAGGAAACTTAGTTTGGGTAGTGGTCACAATGACCCTGAAAGCATTGTTTTGTGTCAATGATTTTGTTTACCAAACAAAATGTGGTTCCATGTTTTAAACACCCCCCCCTTCTTGGGCTAGCTGCCTTCCTGTCCTCTCCTGTGTGAGAGCTGGTGGGGACCCTGAGCTCAGTAATAGATGGCTTTCCAAATTCAAACCTGGCTGATCTGGTTCCTATCCTGAGTGACCTATAACAGGAGGACTTTTTTTTGGTACTGAACTCAGGACCTTGTCCTTGCCAGGCAGATGCATGTGCCACTGAGCTATATCCCCAGCCCCATATTTTAAATTTATTATTATTATTATTATTATTATTATTATTATTGTTATTACTTTGAGACAGATTCTTTCTGGGTAGCCCAGGCTGGCCTCAGCCTTACCATGACTCCCTTGCCTCAGCTTCCTTAGTGCTGAGATCACAGGCATGCATCACTGTGCTCTGAACTGACATGCCCTGAATCAAATGACAAATGCAAGTGGGGAGGAGAAATCAGTTAATTAGTTAACAAGCCAACAACAAACTTTACCTTGAAGCCATGGTCTAAATCCCACCTGGCCAAGGGCGCTGCCCAGGGGCCATGAGGATGCCTCTCCCAAGCTGCTATCATGGCCAGTCAGCCCAGCATGCTAACCCCCCCAGGCAGACACAGCACCACAGCTTTGGTCTGGTGGTTGTGCCCAGCCATGGCTGCCTGTGCTGGTGGCTGTGGAATGTATCGCAGGATGCAGTGCTACCCTTCCAGCCCTGTCCTGGCTTAGTGGACCCATGCACTTCACAGACCCCTGGTCCTGACAGTTCTAGACTCACCAGGAGTAACGGTGTAGGTGGGGCCTGACACAGCCTTCCAGATGACTAGGGTCCCTCAAGGTGCCCATCCCTGAAGAATGTGGCTTTGCTGTGCCAGGGGCTTGTGGGTGGTCAGGGTTGGGGTCCCTGGGGGCATCAGAGCCGGGGCAGGGGGGACCACAGATGACTGATGGGTAGGGCTGTGGCAGGTGGATATTGAGGGACCACACGATGGGCAGGTGGAGGGGGTGGAGTAAAGGAAGAGGATAAGGAGATGAACTGGGAGCTGGCAGTCAGGAGGAGAGTGGGAGATCACTGAAATTGGGGCTAAGGAAGAGCCAAGGAGGTGGCAGCCAGGGGACATGAGTATGCTTTCTTTTCTTTTTCTTTTTTTGGCAGAACTAGGGATTGAACACAGCCAGGCAAGCACTTATTCTACTGAGCCATCTCCCTGGCCCAATGGGGAAAGGAGTGCAATGGAGGCAGGAAGGGATGTGGTGGTGGCCTAAGCAGGTCATTGTCCTGGCCTAGCCAGATAGCTCCATGGACTAAAGTGCCTGCTTAGGCAGAGCACAGGGGTCAGGGTTCAATTCCTGGAATGCCATGCCAGCCCTGCCCCTGGGGCACAATGAGTTGGTGATTGAAACTGGGTGTGGTGGCACACACCTGTAATCCCAGTGCTTGGGAGGCTGAAAACACAGAATCACTACAAATCAGATCTGTGTAGTGAGATACTGTCGACCCCGTACTAAATATATTAGAAAAGAGAACAGTCATTGTCAGGGCCGAAACAGGTATTTGGATGAGAACACCGTGCAACGCGCCGGGCTTCGGGAGCAGCCCAAGCCATGGCTTCAGAGGGCGCGGGCAGCTCCTTCCTTTTGGGTTCTGCAGCCAGTACCCAGGAGCAAGCTGGCATGGTGCTGCGCGGCACTAGGGAAGCTGAGGCAGGAGGATCACGAGTTTGAAGGCAACCTGAGCTACATGGTGTTCCAGGACAGCCTGGATTACAGGGTGAGACCCTGACCAAACAAGAGAACAAAGAAAGAAAGGAAAAACCAAGCAAGCAAGATCCAGGTGTGGTATCCCAGTACTCTGAGGGGTGAGGCTGGAGTTTGTGCCCAGTCTCGGCAATTCAGCAACTTAGTAAAATGAAAGACTATCTTCAAATAAAATAATAGGGTACACACCTATAATCCCAGCACTTAGAAGGCTGATGCAGAAGGCTCATCGCTATTTGAGATTAGCCTGCACTACACAGTGAGTACAAGGCCAGCCTGGACTACACAATGACTCATAAGAAACAAACCCTAAATCACCTGTTTCAAGGGGCCCCCGAGGCCACAGCTGCCCCCCTCATCATGGCTCCCCCTTAGTCACCAGCTCTCCCTCTCTGCTTGCCATACATTTGATTTCCACCTGGCAAAGGTGCCCAGCCCCTCACCCAAGGGTCCTGAACCACTTTTCTTTGATGAAGGTCAAGAACCTGCCTGGATCCCAGACCAGCAGCCAGAGCAGCCGCAGCCTGTGCCCTCTCCTGCCCACCCTCCGACGCCCACCACCCCAGGGTCTCTTTCCCTCTTCCTCTTCCTCCTCGTCCACCCCCCCTTCCTCCTCCGCCCGCTTGCGGGGTGTGGGGGGACACTTGCCTTCCCGCCTGCCCCTATTGTTCTGCCCCCAGCCTCCTGCCCGCTCCCCTTTTCCCCTCAGTTGCCTCACGCCTGCAGTTTTTGGCTTTGACCTCCCCCCAGTGACCAAAGACTTGAGCACTCAAAAAGTTCAGCTCCCCATAGTATTTGACATGGACACCGGTGTGATTGAAGGTGGATTAAATGTCACTCTCACCATCCGGCTACTTATGCATGGGAAGGAAGTTGGCAGTATCATTGGAAAGAAAGAATCAGTTAAGAAGATGCGTGAGGAGAGTGGTGCACGTATCAACATCTCAGAAGGGAATTGTCCTGAGCGAATTATCACTTTGGCTGGACCCGCTAATGCCATCTTCAAAGCCTTTGCTATGATCACTGACAAACTGGAAGAGGACATCAGCAGCTCTATGACCAATAGCACAGCCTCCAGTAGACCCCTGGTCACTCTGAGGCTGGTGGTCCCTGCTAGTCAGTGTGGCTCTCTCATTGGGAAAGGTGGCTGCAAGATCAAGGAAATACGAGAGAGTACAGGGGCTCAGGTCCGAGTGGCAGGAGATACGCTCCCCAGTTCAGCTGAGCGGGCCATCACTACCGCTGGCACCCCGCAGTCCATCATTGAGTGTGTCAAACAGATCTGCGTGGTCATGTTGGAGTCCCCCCCGAAGGGCGTGACCATCCTGTACCGGCCCAAGCCATCAAGTTCTCCAGTCATCTTTGCAGGTGGTCAGGACAGGTACAGCACAGGCAGCGACAGTGTGAGCTTTCCCCACACCACCCCGTCCATGTGCCTCAACCCTGACCTGGAGGGACCACCTCTAGAGTTGACCAAGCTGCACCAGTTGGCAATGCAACAGTCTCATTTTCCCAAGACGCATGGCAGCACCGGATTCAGTGGCATTGAATCCAGCTCTCCAGAGGTGAAAGGCTATTGGGCAGGTTTGGATGCATCTGCTCAGACTACTTCTCATGAATTCACCATTCCAAATGATTTGATTGGCTGCATAATTGGCCGTCAAGGCGCCAAAATCAATGAGATCTGTCAGATGTCTGGGGCGCAGATCAAAATTGCAAACCCAGTGGAAGGATCTACTGCTAGGCAGGTTACCATCACTGGATCTGCTGCCAGCACTAGCCTGGCTCGATATCTAATCAATGTCAGGCTTTCCTCGGAGACGGGTGGCCTGGGAGCAGCTAGAACAATGCAGCTTCGTCCATCACCCTTTCTGCTCTTCACCGTCACCCATGATCCATCTGTGTAGTGTCTGAACAGTCAGCGATTCCAGGTTTTAAGTAGTTTGTAAATTTTCAGTTTCTACACACTTTATCATCCACTCGTGATTTTTTAATTAAAGTGTTTTAAGTGGCTGGAGAGATGGCTCAGTGGTCTGAAGCACCTACTTGGAACAAGCTTGGCAAAGCACAGGGACCGCGGTTCGATCCCCCAGCACCACATGCCAGCCAGCCCTGCCCCCTGGTGGGCTGAGCTGGCCACACACACACACACACACACACACACACACACACACACAATGTTAAAAAAAAATTTAAAAAAAGCGTTTTAATTCCATTCTCTGTTCAGCTGTTTATGCTGAGATCCATATTTAGTTTTTTAAGCTTCTCCCTGTTTTTTTTTTTTTTTTGGCTCATGAATTTTTCTGTTTGTCATGAAAATGTTAAGAATGGAATATTAATACATTTCAGTTCTGTAATGTCAGGAATTTTTCAAAAAAATTAAAAGATGGACTGGAGCTTTTTCTTTGTGAATAGAAACTGGATGCCACAGTGGGAAAAAAAAAAAAAAAAAAAAAAGAACCTGCCTGGAGCAAGGTGGGCTCCTTATGCCCTCTTGGGGGACTTCCTCAGACCCCAGGTGTCACATGGGTGACGGGGCTCAGGCCAGCTTCCGGTCTGTGTGTCCAGCGCCACTCCCTCTGCAGTCTCCAGGCCCTTTCCCAGATGCGGGCTCTGCCCACTCCCCGTCCCACACCTCAGTGCCTCCAGGCCTGTCCACGCTCAGGAATTGCTAGAGGCACCAGCAACTCCCCATGTGAAGGTACTGTGTAGAGAACAGAACTGTGAGAAGCTGAGAACACGTGGCTGGGTGTCTCCCTTAAGTCCCAGGGTGGGGGACTTAGAGCGTCCAGCACAGTCACATTGGAGTGGCTGCTGCGTTGCCTGGGCTCCCCCTCCTCCACGCACCAGGCCTCACCAAATGTGGTTGCTGCTGGATCAGGGCCTTCTAGCCTCCACATGTGTGAGCCAAGCGTAAGCCTATTTGGTTATGGGACTGGGGGTTCAATCCAATACCCTTGCCCTGAACTACATCCCCAGGCCTTTGAGTTAACTAATTAATTTCATTTATTTATTTTTGTAGTACTAGGGATTGAACTCATGACCCTGCACTTGCCAGGCAGGTGCTTATTCTACTGAGCCATCTACCCGGCCCGTTTTATTGATTTTTATTTT